TCTCTATTTTATGAGACATTGTCATTGTATCTTCCTTTATTTCTTTAAGCATGTTTTCCTTTAGTTCTTGGAACATATTTACAATGGTTGCTTTGAAGTCTTTTTGTTACATCTGACGTCTGTGTCCTCTTGTATATAGTTTGTGTAGCCTGCTTTTTTCCCTTATGCATGAGCAGACGTTTCTGTTTCTTTTCACATCTTGTAAATTTGTTGGAAACTGGACATTTTGGAAAATATATTTTAGCAACTCTGGGTGCTGGTCCTCCTCCCCATCCCCTGGGCTAGTCATGTGGTGGTTGTTTGCTTGTTTACTTGTTTGGTGACTTATGTGGACTGTTTTAGTGCAGTAAATCTATTTCCTCTGCAGTGTGAAGCTCTGATGTTGCTCCTCAGAGGGTTCAGGCTTGGGTGTGTGTACAGTCATCCCGAGATGACAGTGGCTTTGGCAGGGCTCTCTTTGACTGTCTCTTTCCCTCATCTCTCTGTTACCTGTCTACCTTTGTCCGTATCACACCTCTATGTTAGATTTCACTAATTGTTGGATGATTGTTCTCTTGCTTTCAACAATGTCTTGGGACATAAACTGCTGTACAATCTGATCCAATTAAATGAAGGCCCCCTTTTCAGGGGTAGTTTTTCCGGTCAGTATTTGAGGTTTGTTCTGACCCCAGGTGGGTTCTTCATGGCTGTTTTTTTCCATGGTTCTCTCTGGTAAACTAGCTGGTTTATGGTTCAGTTTATTGTACTCATGAAGCTACATGAGTCTCCTACTAATGGCTTACCACTAAAATCTATTGTTAGTTTTTTGAGGTTTTTTTCATGAGGAAGATTGGCCCTGAGTAACATCTGTTGACAATCTTCCTCTTTTTGCTTGAGGAAGATTGTTGCTGAGCTAACATCTGCACCAATCTTCCTCTATTTTATATGTGGGATGCTGCCATAGCATGGCCTGATGAGCAGTGTGTAGGTCTGTGCCTGGGATCCGAACCCGTGAAGCCCAGGCCTCCAAAGCAGAGCATGCAAACTTAACTTCTGCACCACCAGGCTGGCCCCTAAAATCTTTTGTTTTTGAGAGTGCCCTTAGGCTTGAGCTTCCCTACACTCTGTTTCAGATAAAGTCATTTCTTTTGGGCAGAGCTTGGGAGTTTTCTGTTCTTATGGCTTGCCTCTCCCCCTGGGAAAAATCTCTAAGCTACTGCTCTATAGTGGATGGTGGGGACAGTGGCCCACTTTCTCAGAGTGACACCCTTGCCTTGTGAGCAGAGCACTGGGTAGGGGCTGTAGCCTCTGGTCTTCTTGGTTTGTGTCTCTCAATGTGGAAACTCCACCCTATGAGTGAGCTGGTATGAGGGCAGTGAGGGCCTCAATATTCTCTGACAGAAGTGCCTGGGGTAGAGTTTCCCCTCTGCGATGGTGGCTGGGTGGAAGAAGGGCCTCCCTGACCTCTCAGCTGCACTTGTTCAGGATCCACTTTTGCAACACATAGCTGGGGGTAGGGATGAGAAATGCTTGTGCTCTGTTTCTCTTGGGGAGATAGAATAGCCCTTGACTGTGACCTGAAGGGTGTGGAGGGGGGCCCTGTGTTCTTGGCTGCACCTGCCTGGAGTGGAGCTTCTATCACACTGAGCTGAGAGTGAAGAGTGAGGAGGTGGGTCATGGTTCAAACCCAATAAACTCACACTGTTCTTACTAAATTTTAGTAGATTTTCTTAAATAAATTTTCTTCATTTACTCTATACTCTTAGGACAATTTCCAGAGGTTTAAAAAAATAATTTTCACCACTTAGACTTGTTTTATTGGGGAACGGGTCTGTGGAGCTCCTTATGCCGCCATGCTAGAGGTGGAACTCCTCCAGCCTGCTCTGTGAGGTTTCTTCTCCTGATGGCTGGAGGAGGTCCTTTCCCAGCACTGCCCTGAGAAGCTGGCTGGCCCTCCCTCCCCTGTCCTCTGTGCCCAGGTGTTTCCTGCTCTTGTAGCCCTGTGTGTTTGAGATCATATTATTTTGGAAGGAGACACATTCGAGGGATAAATTCATCTTTCACAGTCCCTGTTCTTCCCCATTTCCCTGCTCATTACTCGGTGTGGAGTCCCTTGCAAGGCCATAGGCTCTCTCAGGTTTGGGAGTCCCACCCTACCTCCCCCAGTGAATTACTGTAATTTTTTGTTGTACAATGCTTGAATGGAATTTTATGGCTTGTCTCTAGAAATTATTTTTAAAATTCATTTTTTAAATCAAAGTATTACTTGAAAATAATTTATAGTGTTAAAGGGCTTATAACAAAAGCCAGACATCCCTTGTCTCTCCATCCTCTGCATTCTTCCTCCCCCTAGAGGCTCTGTGTGGTAAAGGTTAGGATGGTCACACCTGCCAGGTCTCTCAGTCAGGCTTCTTCTCTGGGAGCCCTGCCCTCCTATTCACTCCAGTTGACACTGGGTGCTCTCTAGATGCTGCCGGGCCGTCTCCCCAGGACCTGCCTTGTTCTCTCCCTGTGTTGGATCCTATGACTGCTGACCCTCATCATCTTCCTTGATTTATTTCCTCATTTTGGTGCACATATCTTGCAGCAGGAGCGTATCCTGATGACAGTGACTGTTGGCAAGGATTTGAGGGGAGGGCCCTGAGTTCTGTTGGGAGCATAGACTAGTACAATCATTCTGGAAAGCAATATTGCAATATTCTGTGAAATTAAGAATATACAGATCCTGTCCGCATGCAGAGAAATCTCCCACAGCTGGAAGTTGGAAGTCCCCTCCCCTCAGATTTTGGAATATATACTTTCTCTCTTTCTGTATGTTAAATTTTAATTGATTAGTTTAATTTTTGAATAGGTAGTACATTGCATGATTAAAAAGCAGAAAGTCTTTCTCTATTGACCCAGTCCACATCTCCGGAAAGTTAACTATTATTATTAGGTCTTTGTGTATTTTTAAATGTTTTTAAAGTTTTAAAGAGATTTTTAATGTAATATAAGCAAATGTAAAGATCATTGCTGAGCTAACATCTATGCTAGTCTTCCTTTGTTTTATATGTGGGATGCTGCCACAGCATGACTTGATGAGCGGTGTGTGGGTCCATACCTGGGATCTGAACCTACGAACCCTGGGCCACTAAAGCAGAGCAGGCAAATTAACCTCTATGCCACCAGGCCGGCCCCTACTTTCCTATTTATTGACTCTTGGGTTATTTCCAACGTTTTGCCTTCAGTGCGGCAATGAACAGCCTTATGCAGGCTTATTCTTTAGGAGGTGTGCAAGCGAGATGGTGAGATAAATTGCTAGAGGTGGAATTGCTGTGTCACAGCACACATGTATTTGTAATTTTGATGAAAATGGCCAAATCCACTCCCATTGGAGTGTATCAGTCTACACTCCAAGCAGCAATGTTGGAGTGCAAGCCCACACAATGTTACAAACTGTTTTTCTGTCAAGCTAAGAGGTAAAAGCAGTGCGCCAATGTGGTCTTCTGAGTGAGACTGAGCATTTCTATCACCCATGAGCATCTTTTCAAAATTTTGAGTCATTTGCAATTCCTCTTCTGTCAACAGTTGTAATCTCTTGCCCATCCTTCTGTTGGATAGGCCATCTTCCCATTTCCTTTTGAATCATCTCAGTCAGACTTTCACCCTCGACGTTTCCCTGGAACGCCTCCTGTTGAGGCCACTGTTGACGTCTGTGTTGACAACCCACAGGTCAGCAATTGGCTCTTGTCTTATTTGACTTCTCAGCAGCACTTGACACAGCTGACGGGCCCCTCCTTCTTGGATCTTTCTTTATCAGCTTCTGTCTCTTCCTTGATTTTCCTCTTAACTTCTAGAAACTCCTTTTCAATGTCCTTTGATGCATCTGCCTTATTTCCTCAACCTCTAAACATTCGAATGCCCCAAGGCTCAGTTATCTTCTCTCGGTACCCTACTCCACAGATGCTTTATCCAGGCCCCTGGCTGTGCAAGCAACCTGCACATGGAAACCGTCCAGAGTTACGTATCCAGGCCTGATCTCCCCTGTGAACCCTGGAATCCTGTCATTCCGATCCATTCTCAGTGTCTTCACTGGGCTGTCTAATGGATATCTCAAACTGAACATGCTCCAAATCAAATTCCTGATTTTCCTTTCCACTCTTGCTCCTTTCCCAATCTTCCCACATCTCAGTAAATGGCAACTCCATTCCTCCATTCACTGAGGCCCAAAAACCTTGGAGTCAGCCTTGACCCCTCACTTTCTCTCACATTTGACTTCTACCTCATCAGCAAACCCTATTGCCTTTACCTTCGAAATATGTCCCCTATCCGGCCCCCTTTGCCCCCTCCACTGTGGCCCAGCCTGCCTCTTCTCTCACCAGCTTCATGTCAGCAGCTCCTAGTAGGGTCTCCTTGCTAAGTGCCTTGGTGTGTGAGATTCAGTGAGTAACTGAGAGACAGATTTAGACAGAGAGGCTGTACATGCTAGCATTAAGCCATGTTGATTTAGACTGTGCTCTGCATTGCTGTATGTTATTTATGTTCCAATCCAAAAGGGTAAATAATTATTAAAGTAAGTAGAGTGTAATTGTCCACAAAAGCAATAGGAGTAAAGAAATTTATTGGAGAGCTTTCTGCATCGCTTGGCTACACTGATCTTAGTGTTGTACTTAGCCGCTCGCTGTCAGCCCATCCTGTGTGCTAGCGCAGGCCAGGAGAACGCACCAGTCTCCCCTCTGGGCTCCAAGAAGGAGTTAAGGCTTGGCTCCTCCCCAGCTGGGAGCCTCTGACTGAGCTCTCCAGGCTCTGGCCTGGGCTGGGAGCAAAATCCACAGGAACAGGAATAAAGTAATCACTGGTTACTTCTCCATTATGCAAATATTGTGCTAACAGATTTCTTCTTTAGGATAGATTACAAAAGTAGAACTATTGAGGTAAAAGACATCAAAGAGATCCTTCTAAAACGGACCATGTTACTCCCTGTATTAGTCTGGATTCTCCAGAGAAACCAATAGGAGACATGACAGAAGATAGACAGACAGATAGACAGATGATAGAGATTTATTATAAGAAGTTGGCTCACATGATTATGGGGGATGAGAAGTCCCACGATCTGCTCTGTGCAAGCCGGAGAGCCAGGAGAGCCAATGGTGCAGAGTCTAATCCAGATTCAGGAGAGGCACAATGTCCCAGTTTGGAAACAGGCAGAGACAGCATGAATTCTGTTACTCCACTTTTTGTTCTATTCGTGCCTCCGACTGATGGGCTGAGGCCCGCCCACGTTGAGGAGAGCTATCCGCTTTACTGAGTCCACTGATTGATTCGAACGTCAGTCTCACCCAGAACCACCCTACAGACACACCCAGAACAATGTTTAACCAAATATCTGGGCCCCCTGGCTCAGTCAAGTTGACACATAAAATTAACTACCCATCCACCCCTGAAACTCTTCAGGGGCCCCCAGACCCTTCATGGTCAGCTTCAAGCTGCTGGGTCTGCCCCGTGGGGTCCCTCACCATCTGGCCTCTGCTGGCCTTTCCCGCCCCTGCTTTCTGCCCCACACACCGCTGTCTGTCTCCTCCGTCTTTGTTGAAGTATTCTCTCAGCTTGCGCACGTGGGGACGGTCTGTTGGTCAACATGAGGGTTCTAGCTTATTGCCTCAGGTCTGCTCATTCCCAGTTAATCTTTCCACCTCTCTGTTCCAACCTGGAGGCCCAGGTGGGATGCCAGAGGAGAATGGCGTCAGGCAGCCGCTCAGCCCTTGGGCAAGGGCCTGATTGTGGCTGAGAGGCCTCTCGTGCTTGTATTTCCAGGTGTCCCTGTGGGACGTCTCTCGGCCCAGGGCCCCAGGCCCCCACCTAAGTCCTGAGAACTGAAAGTGAAGCCGTTTTCACTGGAGACGTTGTGCAGCTGGGCCTGCCCCTCACAGCACGGGTGCCGTGACAAAGGATGACACGATGGGACGTGAGCCTGCTCCCTTCTGCTGCTGGGGACGACACATGACTGCCCGGCAGGGCCCACGGAAGGGAGTGGGGAGCTAGGGGGAGTGGGAGCTTTGTCTTAAACACAATGACACATCAGGGGGTACTGGGGGCTCAGGGACCCAGAAAAGAGGAGGGGCAGGAGCGGAGGACAGACCTGTGTCACTGTGTCTGTGCTTGCGGGAGACCTGGCGGCCTGTCGGAGCCCCCTTGGCTCCTCCGCACCCTCAGGAGCAGAGCTCTGGAGCCCACGGACCCTCATAGGGGCAGGCCCTTCCCTGTGAGCTGGGTGTCCTCGGGCCATGGCTTTGCCTTTCTGAACTCCTGCTTCGTCACTTGCCCAGTGGACGGTGAGAGCACCTCCCTCGTGGGGTTTGTTAGGCTGTGTGTGGTGCCAGGCCTGGAGCTCGGCGCCGGCGAGGGAAGTGTTTGCATTTCGGTGCAGTGGAGCCCCAGCTGAGGGACACCCGGCCGCAGCTCTTGACTGAGGGACGGCTCCTCGCCCCGCGACCCACTGGCGGGCTGTATCGGTGCAGTTAGAGACCGGGGAGGGCGCCCCGCCCTCAAGAACCTCATATGCACCCTGCAGTGTGAGGGACGCAGTGGCCTGAGGTCTGGGGGGGGGGGAGGCGGTCTGTGGTGTCCCCTGGGGTTACCTGGAGTCCTGCCCTGGAGGGACAGACAGGTTCTGCAGAGGCCTGGTGTGGCTGGGGTACAGGGCTGAGTCGCTGGTTGTGAGAGGGATGCCCTCGCTCAGGGAGCTTGGCGGGGTGGGGGCTGGTGGGAGTGTGGCTCCAGTGATGGGCGATGTGGGGCCGTGGTTTCAGAGGAGGTGCGGAGCACCCGTGTGAGAACAGGCCGATTCGGAACCCCAGCCAGGCCCAGGGGCCTCCGAGGCAAAGCCGTCAAGGATGTCCTCCTGTCCCCCACCCCCACTGTTCCCTCTCTGCAGGGCTGGGGAAAAGCACTAGGAGAGACCCCGGCCCCGCCCTCTCCCTGGCCTCCTGGGCGCAGTGGGGCTGCTGGCTGTTCCCATGCCCGGTGTCTGGCACCCAGATGCCTGCCTCGTGGCTGAGCTGGGTGGCTTCAAACCCTGTGCTGTGGGTCGGGGGTCTGCGTCACCAGCGCTGTGCTGGGCCTCACGGGCGTTAGTCTTGGGCACCACCAGTGCTGCTGACACCTGCCCCACAGGCGTGGGACCCACCTTCGGAGTCCCTGTGGGCCATCTGACTTGGCCATAGGGACTGAGACCAGGAGAGCAAGAGGACAAAGGGACCTTTGCAGGGAAGGGCCACGAGTCCTGGATGTGGCTAAGGAACCGTCTGTGTGGCTGTGAGCTGAGCACCATCCCTCTCTGGGCTCTGAGGCTGCACCTGGAGAAGGGGCACCATGATCCCCACCTGGGGGGCTGCTGGGTGGGTAGTCTGAGAGAAGCCCCACTTCTGGCCGCACAAGGCCTGCCATCCAGAGGCTGCTCAGGGAGGTGGAGACCAGGTTCAAGGGCCCCTTGGATGAACCGGAGACACAAACACACTCAGCCCGAGTCCCCTTGGCCCTGCGTCCTCTGCGAGGCTGGCCGTGGGCTGTCTCCTTCTCTCTTGCCCTGAACCCTCTTCCAACTTGGGGTGAGCCCAGACCTCACCTTGACATCTCCCCTGACACGCATTCTGCACTGGGTCACCCAGAGTGGGCAGGCTGGAGGGGGCAGGCGTGGAGGAGGGGCCGCATGTTAGGAATCCCACTCCAGAAGACAGGCCTTAAACCTGAGGCTGCTTCTCTGACGAGATTGACAAGGTGGGAATAGCATGCCAGGTGGTGGGAACAGCATGTGCAAGGCCACAGAACAGGAAACGATGTTTCCTTTGCATTGGGGCTGCAGGCCCAGCAGCAATAGGGCTGTAGCCCTGCCCTGGTAGCACTGACAAGCTTGACCTGCCTCCTGGTGTAACCACTGGAGTTTCAATGGTAGGCCCTGAACTGCTTTCTCCAACACCCTTCCCTCATGTTCCCCGCAGCCTGGGAGGAGGCGGCTACAATCTCCTGGCAGGAGATGCAGAGGGCTGAGCTGGGCCTCGGCTGCTGGGGGCACGGCTGCGAAGAGACATCTGGGGGCTGGCCTTGGAGAAAGAGCTGGAGCCTGGGCCTGGGTGAGGGATCGCATGAGGAGGGGAGGGCACCGTGGCCAGCTGCCCCCAGGCCCCTCAGCCTCAACGGATGCCTCCCCTCGCTGAGCATCCTGGGGTTCCCTCACAGGCGCCTGTACCAAGTTGCTCAGGGATAAGGAGCTGGAGCCAGGCGACTGGCAAGGCCTGGGCCCTTGGGTGGCCTGGGAGGCCCCTGCAGAGTGTCCTGTTTCCCCAAGGCTGGGTGGGAGACAACCTCCTCTGTGGGAGCTGGGCCCCGGGCAGGCCTCCCAGAGCTCCATGGGCATCGGACTTGGACCTGCCATCATGCGTCTCTGAGGCTGGCCTGACTCCTTCGCACCACATGCTCCTGCTCCTGACAGGCAGTGCTCAGTGTGACTGGGAGGCAGGGACAGTCCCTGCTGATGTTTGCAGAGGGTCCTGTCTAATGTTGCCCCAGGGGATGCCAGGCACCAAGGGAGCATGTTGGGTAGGGAGGAAGGGATGAGGAGACATCTAGCCAGCTCCTGGGACCCTCCAGGCCCCTGCTGGGATCTGAGTATGGTGTGAGGTGGGTGGAAGCCTGAGCTCAGTGGCAGCCTGGCCCCCGCCCTGCCACTTGCTCCCTGCACCACTCACCCTCTCTCTGGGGGCTCAGATGGGAAGGGGGGAAGCTCTTGGGGCTTGACCCTAACATGCAGCGGTCCCACACCTCTGCCAGGCTGCCAGGCTGCCAGGCTCTTCCGGGGCCTGGCCGAGGTCCCGGCTCGGTTCACCAGGCAGAATTCCCTGCGTCAGCGGAGGCGCCTGAGGTGCTGAGTGCCTATGCTGAAGCCATGGCGCCAGGACAGGCAAGTCTGGTACCTAGCGGGCCCAGCCCCTGAGCGGCCTGACGTGGCCAGCAGCTGGCCAGGGTGGGTCAGTGTCCCCCAACATACCCTGCTGTGCCCGGCAGGGCCTGACCTGCGTGACACATCACCCTCCCTGACTTCCTGGCTGGGTGACCTGGTCACATGCCGGGTGGGGGCTCAGCAGCTCCATGACCACTGCTTCCCGGCACAGAAGCTTGACTCGGTGTGTGAGGGGCTGGGGGGGGCCCATGAGAGGAGCCTCCCCTCCCACTCCCCAAGAAGAGAGGCGTCTGGCCGCACAGGCTGTCAGTATCCATTCGCCAGGTCCTGTCAGCACAACGTAGGGTCTGTGGGGAGGGAATGGCCACCACGTCCCCCTCCTGACCCCTGGGAAACTGAGCGTGGAAACTGCCTGCCTCCTGGCGGAAGCTCACCTCAGGCCCATGGGTGAGAGACACGGTGTGGACGTGGACATGCAGGGTGTACTCATGTGTGTTTATACCGGCTCTGAAGTTTACAATGTACTGTACGTGTTGTCAGCTCTGTGACTCAGATTTGTCCGGTGACCTGCATCAGATCTGTCACCAAAAAGCCATCCCCTGATACCAGCAGGATCCAGAAAGGGGGTGCACATGGCTTCAGAAAACAGCCATGGCGAGGGGCAGGGTAGGGTCCATCCTAGAATGGCAGGGGCCCTGGGGGCTCTGGTCCCTTTCACATCACTGTGATGCCTGCTGGAGAGGTGGGGGCTCCCAGGCCACCTGGAAACAGACTGGGTGTCGGCCTCTGTGGCACATGTCACCCAGTGACATCAAGACTGCCGTCGTCCAACACTTTGGGGCCGTGCTGTGTCCTTGCCAAGGATGGACAAACTGACCAGCAATGTGACCTGCTGTCACATTGTCCTGAAGGCAGGGCCCCCATGGCAGGTGCCATCCACACGTCTGGAGGCCCAGGCCCTGCCAGGGCTGAGGTTCCACAAAAGGAAAAAGGTCTCCTGTGCCACGGGGTCGCTGTGGTGGCGCCAGGCCACAGGTTCACGGTTTGCGAAGCAGTGAGGCACCAACACCCCTGCCTTGCGCTGGGCCAGCTGAGGCAGGGCTGCAGAAGCCTGCTGCTGACTTCCTCCGCTCCTCCTCCTGCAGCTCAGCGCTTCTCACGTCTTCCCCAAAATAGAAGACCTGCCGATTGAAAGGTGCCGAGGGTGGGGAGAGCCTGCCGCGGCCAGGCCATACTGCCCTCCAGCAGCGGCCTCCCGCCCTGGGTGCTGTGCAATCCTCCGGGCTCGGTCCTCAAGGCCCACTGCTGTGGATCGTTTCCCACCTCTGCTTGGCTTGGGTTAACAGGCCCAACAAGCAGGAGATGGCGTGAGTCTCACATTATGGTGTGAGAACAGGGACTAGGGGTTTCTGGCCCTGGGACACGTCTTGACCGCCCGCAGGGGCAGCCTGTGGTCCTAGCCTCCTCTCCTACCCCAGCCCTTGAGTTCTGCCCCCACTCCTAAGACCCTGGCCTGACCTGCCCGCCTCCCGTGGGCTGAGACGCAGGCATTGCGGCCACCCAGCCCGGCGCGGCGCACAGACTCACCTTAGAGACTTCCACCTCTCTCTTTCTGTTTGGTTCTCTGGGCTCTCGCTTTCATAAGAAGCCAGATAAAGACCTAGTCAGAAAATGAAGTAAAATTAGGCAATTGTGGTTGATGATGATAATCTATTTTATACAGAGTCTGAATTGCTTTAAGTTTTTACATCAAACTTGTTGCTGGGAGGTAATTGTAGGTTCACGTGCAGTTGTAAGATACACAGAGCCATCAGTGTACCCCTTACCCGCTTTCTCCCAATGGCAACCCCTTGGAAAACTACAGGACAGGCTCAGCACCAGGATATTGACGCGGATACTGTCCAGATGCAGACATCTCATCACCATGAGGATCCCTTATGTAGCCTTTCATGGCCCCACCACTTTCCTCCCATCTCCACCCCTTTCTGATCCCCTGGCAACTACTAATCAGTTCTCTATGTCTGTATTTGGTCATTTCAGGAATATGATATTCATAAATGGAATCGTACAATATGTAACCTTTTGGGGTTGGCTCTTTCCACTCAGTGTAATTTTCTGGAGGGTTGTCCATGCTGTAGGGTATACCAGGACTTCATGCCTGTTTGGTGCTGAATAGTATTCTATGGTGTGGATATACTACAGTTGGTTTACTGTTCACCCACTAAAGGACATCTGGGCTGTTTCAGTGTTCGGTTGTAACATGCTAAGCTGCTATCAGTGTTGGTGTATGGGTTTCTGTGTGAACGTAAGTATTCATTTCTCTGGAATAAATAAAAGCCCAAGAGTACAACTGCTGTCGTATAGGAGCTGCATAGTTTTTTTTGTTTGTTTATTTATTTATTTTTAAAGATTTAATTTTTCCTTTTTCTCCCAAAGCCCCCCGGTATATAGTTGTGTATTTTTAGTTGTGGGTCCTTCTAGTTGTGGCATGTGGGACACCACCTAGCATGGCTTGATGAGCAGTGCCATGTCCGCGCCCAGGATTTGAACTGGCGAAATCCTGGGCTGCCGAAGCTGAGCACGTGAACTTAACCACTCAGCCACGGGGCCGGCCCCACTGCCTACGTAGTTTTATAAGAATTCCTGAAGTTCTACATCCTGAAGGTTTTCTCTTGCTTTTTTTCCTAAAGTTTTATAGTTGTACATTTTCTATTTGAGTCTGTGATCCATTTTGAGTTAATTTTTGTGTAAGGCTTAGGATGAGGTTCATTTTTTGGTTTATGGATGTCCAAACGCCCCAGCACCACTTGTCGCGAAGGCCATCACTCCTCCACTCACTTGCTTCCGCACCTTTGTCAAAAATCACTGGGCGCATTTGTGCAGGTCTACTCCTGGGTCCGTTGTTCTGGCTCATTGACCCGTGTGCCTGTCTTGTCAAGACCACGCTCTCCTGATTCCTGTAGCCATATAACAGCAGCTTTCATATGGGGTAGAGTGATTCTTCCCAGTTTATTCTTCTTTTTCAAAATTGTTTCAGCTATTCTAATTCCTTTGTCTTTCCATACAAATTTTAGAATAATCTTGTCTATATCCGTAAAAAATCCTGCTGGAATTTTGATAGGAATTGCATTAAACCTGTACTTAACTTTGGGGAGGAGAATTGATATGTTTGCCATGTAGAGTCTCCCAATTCATGAACGTTCCGTCTCTTCATTTGTTGAGCTCCTTGATGTCTTTCATTAGCATTGTGTAGTTTTTAGCATGTCAATCTGGTCCACGTGTCGCTAGATTTACACTTAAGTATTTCATTTTTTGAGCAATCATAAATGGTACTGTATTTTTAATTTCGGTGTCCACATATTCATTGTTAATATATAGAAACACAATAGAATTTTGCCTGTTTATCTTACATTCTGTGACTTTTGCTGAACTCAGTTCTAGGAGTTTTTGTAGATTCTTTGGGATTTTTTTACATCTTCTGCAAATAGGGACAGTGTTAATTCTTCATCTCTGATCTGTATGTCTTTATTTCTTTTTCTTGCCTTTTGCACGCACTAGCTCTCCCATTACTGTGCTGAATAAGAGTGGTGAGGGTAGACATCCTGCCTCGCTCCCCATCTCAGGTGGAAAGCAGACAGACTTTCGCCATTAAATATGATGTTAGCTGAAGGGGTTTTGTGGATACAATTTATCAAGTGGACAAATTCCTTCTATTTTTATGATTTCCTGAGAGTTTTTCCCATGCATGGTTGTTGAAATTTGTCAAATGCTTTTTCTACACCGATTGATGTAATCAAATGATTTTTCTCATTTAACCTGTTAATTTGGTGGATTACATTGATTGCTTTTCAAATATCGAACAGGCTTGCATCTCTGCAATAAACCCACTTGGTCATGATGTATAATTATTTTTAATATATTGCCAGATTCTATTTGCTAATGTTTTGTTAGGGAATTTTTGCATCTATATTCATGAGGGATATTGATCTGTGTTTTCTTTTTTTATCCTATCTTTGTGTAGTTTTGGTATCAGGCTAATATTGGCTTCCTAAAATGAATTGGGAAGTTCCCACTGCTTCTATTTTTTGAAAGAGATTGTGCAGAATTTGTATTAATTCTTCTTTAAAAGTTTAATAGAATTCTCTAGTGTAACCATCTGGGCTTACAGATTTCATTTTTGGGTGTGCTTTTTTGTTTTTGTGAGGAAGGTTGTCTCTGAGCTAACATCTGCCCATCTTCCTCTATTTTATGTGGGATGATGCCACAGTGTGGCTTGACCAGTGGTGCTCGGTCTGTGCCCAGGATCCGAACCTGTGAACCCCGGGCTGCCGAAGCAGAGCACACGAACCTAACTGCTACACCACTGGGCTGGCCCTGTTTTTGAGTATTTTTAATAGTCAATTCCCATAATATTATAGGGCTATTCAAATTATCATTTGTGGTAATTTGTGTTGTTTGAGGAATTTGTCCATTTCATCTAACTTGTCAAATTTATGTGCATAGAATTGTTCATAGTATTTCCTTATTAGCCTTTTGACGTTGGCAGAGTCTGTAGTAACACCCCTTGTTTCATTCCTGATATTAGTAATTTCTGTCTTCTCTCTCTTTTTCTTTGTCAAGAGGTTCTTTGCTAGAGGATGGGAATTTTTTTGTTCTTTCCAAAGAACCAGCTTTTTGTTTAATTGATTTTCTTTATTGTTCTGTTCTCCCTTTCACTGATTTCTGCTCTCTGGTGCTTTTATTTCCTTCCTTCTGCTGCGTTGGGATTATTTCACTCCTCCTTTTCTAGGCTCTGAGATGGGAACTTAGATAACTGATTTGAGTATTTTCCTTTTTTCTGACATATGCATTCAGTGCTGTGAAATTTCTTTCCCTCAGCCCTTCTTTAGCTGCATCCCACAAATTTTGATTGTATTTTCATTTACTTCAGTTATTTCTTGATTTCCCTTGAGACTTCTTCTTTGACTCATGGATTATTTAGAAACATGTTGTTTAGATTCTCAGTGTTTGGAGATTTTCCTGTTGTCTTATTTAACTGATTTCTAGTTTGATTCCATTGTGATCAGAGAACACACTCTATGATTTCAATTACTTCAGTTTTTTGCAGTTTATTTTATGTGGCTCAGGATATGGTCTATCTTGGTATATGTTCCATGGGCAGTTGAAAAAATGTGTCTTCTGTAAATGTGTAGTCGTGTGGAATGTTCTGTAACGTTGATTAGATCCTGTTGTTTGATGGTATGGTGAGTTCTTCGATGTTTTTGCTGATTTTCTGTCTAGTTGTACTATCAACTGTTGAGAGAGGGGCATTGAAGTCTCCAACTATATTGTGGATCTGTTTATTTCTCCTTTAAGTTCTATCAGTTTTTGCTACATAAATTTTGCAACTCTGTTTTTGGTGGATACCCATTTAGGATTGCTATGTCTTCTTGGGAGACTGACCCTTTTGTTATTGTATAATGTTCCTCTCTGTCTCTGTAAATTTTCTTCCCTCTGATATTAATATTGCCATTCCTCCTTTCCTTTGATTAATGTTTCCCCATCCTTTTAGTTTTTAACCTGGCTGTATTATTATATTTGAAATGAGTTTCTTGTAGACAGCATATTATTGGGTCATGGCTTTAATTTACTCTTCCAATCTCTGTCTTTTACTTGGTGTATTAGACCATTTACATTTAATATAATTATTGATAGGGCTTAAATCTGACATTTTGTTCATTTTTTTTTTGGTTTTTGTGTGTTCTCTCTTTGTTTTGTTTCTGTTTTATTTTTCCTCCTGGAGGTTGCCCAAACAGTTTTTAGAATTCAATTTTGACTTATCTCTACTAAACTCCTGAAGGATATTTTCACTGGATATAGAATTATGGGTTGATAGTTATTTTATTTCAGCATTCAAAAAGAGTGCCATTGCCTTCCAGCCACCATAGTTTCTGATGAGAAATCAGATGTCATTTGAATTGTTTTTCCCCTACAGGTAAAGTGTCATTTCTTTCTCAATGCTTTCAAGATCTGTTTCCTTTTCTTTGGTTTTCAGAAGTTTGACTACAATGTGTCTTGGTGTGGGTTTCTTTGGGTTTATTTTGTTTGGGATTCACCCAGCTTCTTGAATCTTCAGGTTTGTGTCTTTTCCAGATGTGAGAACTTTCCAGCCACTACTTCTTCTATTACTTTTTCAACCCTGCCTTCTTTGTCCCCCTCCTTCCTAGACTTTGATGATAGGGGTGTTAGATCTTTTGTTATAGCCCCACAGAGGCTCTTGAGGATCTGTTGTTCAGATTGTATGATTTCTATTGTTCTGTCTTCCAGCTCACTGATTCTTTCCTCTGTCCTCTCCATTCTGCTGTTGAGCTCATCTACTCAGTTTTTATTTCAGTTATTGTAGTTTTCAGTTCTAAAATTTCCATTTGGCTCTTCCTCATATCTTCTGTTTCTTTGCTGAGACTTTCTGTATTTTTATTTGCTTCAAGAAGCCTCAAGGCTGACTGGATTGCCAGGAGGGCCCTGCCAGGGGAGGCCTGGAGCTGAGGGCCCGGGGGCACTTCTGTCAGAGGCTGTGAGGCAGTCAGGGCTCAATACATCTGAGGTCTCTTTTGCTTTTCTCTGCTTTTTGGGGGTGGGGGGAGGGACAGGAGAAAGAGAGGGTCAAAATGAGAGGTGTTCCTCTCTTAGGGCGCTCCAGAAGGGCTAGGCTCTTATCTGTATGTTCACAGCAGAATTGCTGACTGGCACACATCAGACTCTCTAGAAATCCTGAGACTCAACGAGTGAATGAAATGCCCCTTTCTCTCTTCCCCTACACTCCCCCTGCCCCTCTCCTAAGGTGCCTTTGACACATCTTATTGCCCAAGTTCCATGAAGAGGTCAGTGGCTAATGACAACAATCATCATAACAACTAGTGTAGGAGGTTTAATAGCAGCCCAGAGAATCCTGGTCCTGTGACCATGTTACTATCTACGGCCTAAAGAGACTCTGCAGATGAGATTAGCTAAGGAAGTGGAGCAGGGAAGATGATCCTGGATTACCCAGGCTGGGCCCTAAGTGCAGTCATTAGTGTCCTAAGAGGGAGACTTGACTACAGGGGAGAAAAGATGATACAACGGAAGAAGCAGAGGCTGGACTGATGCGATTCAAAGATGGAGGGGGGGGCCGGGAGCCAGGGGTACAGGCGGCCCTTAGAAGTCCTGAAGAACCAGGAAATGGATTCTCCCCTCAGACCCTCCAGAAATACCCAGCTCTAATATCTTGACTTTAGCCCAGTGGAACTGATTTCAGACTTCTAACCTCTATAACTGTAAGAGGATAAATTCGTGTTGCTTTGAGCCACCAAGTTTGCAGTGATTTGTTACAGCACCAATAGGAAACAGATACAACTAGTATCATGGAGTGTAGTCCCATAGGCTTTGCCTGTGCCAATTTAAGGAATTCTCATTGCGGCCCTGGGAAATATGTTCTCTCCTCACTTTATAGATGCAGCAGTGGACGCTCAGAGAGGGTGAGGAACCTGCACAGGGTCACACAGCTCACTGGGGTGGTAGCAGCCCAGGCTTGTTGATGAATACATCAGGTTGCTGAGCTTCTTGTGTGAGGGGAGGGACTCCACATGCAGGTGAGAGCCCCACCAAAAGGCTTCAAAATGAATAATAATATGGCAAAGTTGAAAGTATTAATAATTCAGAAATAAAATCATTAAACAATACTTCCCCTTAATTTTTTATTTTTGGCAGAACATCTTCTCCTGAGTATGGGTGTGGGTCCTTCTGTAAAATGCTTGCTGTGGCAAGGAGCCAGGCCTCTGGCATGCTGAGTGGGGGCCTCTCAGGGTGGTTCAAGAGTGTCCTAGACCCAGAGAGCAGCTAGCCATGGGGCCACACTGCCCCCACAGGGACGATCAGCTCAGGCCCAGATGACCAGTTGCTTCTCCAGCACTCCTCTTCCTGGAGGAGGGAGTCCTGGAGGATGCTCACTGAGCAAATTCAGAAGCAAATGTGCTGTATCTGACAAACGACCAGGTGGGAACGCTGGTCTGCTGGAGGGATGGACAGCAATGGCACTCTGGAGAAAGGGTGTCTGCTCTCATGCTGCTGTGCACCACACACACACACACACACACACGTGCACGCACATCAGCTGTGGAAAGATCCATGAGCCCAGTGCTCTGCCAGCCCCGTGTGACCCTGGGAGGGCAGTTCTTATCATCACCCCCACTTCACTGATGAGGAAAGTGGGTCATACAGAGGCATGGTTCAGATTTATGATGCCCAACAGCGTCCAAGCTGTGTCCAGCGGGACGCCTGGCCCTGGAGTCCCAACCCACAGCTCCTCGGGCCCTGTCCTGTGCTCTGAGGGTGGCAACCATCCAGCTGGGGGATGCAGCCTTCTCTGCTCCCTCCTGGAGCCAGCAAATGTGGGTACGGTGCGTTCTGCTTAGAGCAGGGGCCCTGAATGGCGATGTGACTATGAGACCACCCAAGAGTCCCGTAGCCGGGGGTCAGGGAGGCCGTGGGCCACCTTACCATCCTCGCTGAAGATGGGGGCGCTGTGCAGGTAGTGGATGATGCTGCGGTCTTGTTCGAAGGGACACTCTACTTGTTTCCATGTGATGAACTCTCCAACCTGCTTGGCCAGCTCCAGAAATTTCTGCCAGGGTCACAGAGACACAAAGTGGGTGCCCCCCAGTGCCTGGAGGTCACCTGTGAGACTGGGCCCTGGCCGGGCTCTCTCATCACTCTCAGTGAGGCCCACCTCTGGGGCAGGCAGGACCACTGGGAAATAAATGACTGAATCACCCATCGGGAAAACCCAGGTGGTTGTCACGTCTCCTCTTTCCCCCTGAGGAATCCCCGCACCTGACACTCGGGCTCACCAGGCGCTCTCTTCGTGGGAGAGAGCAGCCAGCTGGGCCGCTGGCTGGCTGCGCATCTCAAGGGGACTATTACTTTAGCTCCATTCCATTTGTTTTTGTGGTCATCCTTACTTATGACAAGTGATATGGCCCTACGTATGACACGTTTGTTTATTTAGAGAATGATGCAAAAAACTTTAAATAAATATATTTAAATAAAATTTAAGGAAATTCATTTAAGTAGAATTTTCAGTAAATTCTGGTGGCCAGCTCCAGCTCGCACTGCCTGTGCCTCGATCTGGGGCCACAGGAGCACCTTGCAGTCTTGCCTCTCCCACCCTGGCCTCAGTTCTGAGGACTGGTTCAAGAAGGGCAAAGACAAGGGCTCCCACACCTGGTGTGCTTTGGGGTCCCCTGGGCCCTGCAGCCTCACCCTAGCCTAGTCTCTCACGTGGCCTCACGGGACTGCCCCCCAGGATGCAGAGCCTTGGCCACCTCTGGACTGGACTTCTCCAGCTACACTGGCCCTCAGGGGTCACCAGCCCTGTGGGCAGTATGTGAAGGTCTGTGGGGTATCTGTGTGAGGCCCCAAAGCAGAGGTGACTCCAGCCAAAGGGCCCAGGTGTTGGCCGGGGGCCCTGTCAGCAGGGGACACCTGCAGAGGCCTTGGTGGGCCTCGAAGCATGTCCGTCCCTCCTGGCCCCTCTGTGCGGCCGTGGTTGGAGCCCCGTTTTGCAGAGGGAGAGACTGAGACTCAGAGAGCAAGGGGCCAGCCCAGGACTGCCTGCCCCTTGGAGATGGAGGCTGGGTGGGGCCTGCCCTCCTGTGGGAGAAGAGCCGCTCCTTACAGATTGGGAGAGCACACTGCGGCGTGGCGTGCTCTGCCTGTCTGACGCAGCTACCTCCTGCCGCATTGCCCCATGCCCTCAGGGCTCCTGGGCCTCCGCCCCCACCATACCTAGCCTACCAGCCACTCTGAGACACGTGTGCTGCGTGGGCCTGTGTAGAGGGTTGGGACACAGAGCAGATCAGCCTGGCCCTGCTTCTGAGGAGCTTGAGAACTGGAGTGCCGTGACCAAAGGATGTCCAACCTGCTGTGCATGGGCCTCCCTCTGCCTGGGAGGTCAAGGAGGGCTTCCTGGAGGAGAAGACACTTGAGCTGACAGTGGCGAGCATCTGCAGAGGGAGAAGAATCTTTCCTTCTGCTCCCTCTGCCTTCTGCCTGACCAATTCCTCCTGCTGTTCAGGGCCCTGCCTTTGGGAGGCCTCCCCGGCCCCGTGCACTGTGCCCGTGTGCAGCCACTGTCACGGCACCTCGCCAGTTGTCACTGTGGCCCTGCAGGGCTGTCTTCCTTACCAGGCTGGTGCTCCTCAAGGGCTGAAAATGAGTCTGCTTTGCCTGTTCTGGGCACAAGGCCCACACGGAGCGGGAGTCAGTGCCTCATGGGCCTTGGTCTCCCCCTCTGGACAATGTAGGTGGGGGGACTCTGATGACCCCACCTCAGGGCCGGCTGTGAGTGGCTGGCTGCACTCCTCTCGGGGACCCTTTAGTCCAACTGTTCAGGGCTGGTGCGCCTGCTTGGGGGCTTTTACTGGCCTGTAACCCACAGGGGCTCCAAGATCCTACCTCGAAGTTGACATGCCCACTGGGGAGGCGGTTGGCACAGCCCTCGTTCAGGAAGTAGATGTCTTTGATGAACAGACTGAAGAAGGGAATGACGATCTGGAAGGGAGACGCTGCAGGTTGGCCCTTGGCTGGCCTCCCTGCAGGGCCGCCCGGGCAGGAGGCAGCCTCGCCAGCAGCCACCTGCCCCAGGGACCTTGGGCGCAACCCCGAGGCAGGGGCTGGAGAGACTCCCTGGGCGAGGCTGGCAGCCTCGGGGCTTCCTGGGTTACAGGCTACTAAGTGTGCATCATGGGGCCATGTGGAAACCACAGAGAGAGCAGGCATGGGCCCTCTTACCCTGGGGCCAGACTGCTCCCTCCGAGGCCCCAGCAGACCCCAGGGCTGACTGAGCTCCTACCGTATTCGGGGCCATTCCTCCTGGTGTTGGGGTTGGGAGAAAGACACACAGTTCCGATGACCCTTACCATTTCTTCCCTCGCCTGCTGGGAGAGGCTGGTGGGAGCGTCCCCCCACAATCCGGGGATCCACAGACCTAGGCCTCCCAGCTCGTGTGCACCAGGAGGAACGGTGCATGCTGAGCACACTGTTAAATATGTATGGACTATGAATCATCTGTTGTGAAGTTTTGTGGCCTCTTTTTGAACAAAACATATATATATATTTAACAATTTGTCATTCTGTGTCTTTCTTGATGCTAAAGATCTGATGCTGCTGCACCGTGGGAAGGCCGGGCCCTGAGGGCGGCTCCGAGCGGGGCCTGTGAAGGGTGGGGCTCTGTCTCAGCAGTGGACGTGCTTCTCCTCTCTGCTCTGCACCTGCTGACTCCTAGGGGAGAGAGACACACTGCTCACAGCTCACCCCACCCTTGGGGAGCCTGCTGGGTCTACCCTGCTGCTCTGGGTTGAACTGTGTCCCCCCAAAACATACATTCAAGTCCTAGACCCTGTGAACAGGACCTCATTTGGAGGTAGTCTTTGCAGATGGAGTCAAGTTAAGATGAGGTCATACTGGTTTAGGTGGGCTCTAATCCACTGACTTGTGTCCTTATAAGAGAGAAGTTTGGACACACCAGGGAAGATGCCATGTGAAGGTGGAGGCAGAGCTGGGAGTGATGTGGCCACTGGCCAGGGAATGCCCAAGACCATCAGAAGCTGGAAGAGGCAAGGAAGGATCCACCGAGAGCCTCTGGAGGGAGCACAGCCCCGCCAGCCTTGACTGTGGCCTCCAGAACTGGGAGAGGAGACATTCTGTTGCTCTAAGCCACTCAGTGTGTGCGCTGTGCTGCGGCAGCCCAGGAAACTGACACGCTGCTTTGCCCAGGGGCTCCAGTCAGGACCAGCCTCCAGCCCATCACCCTTGGGACTGGGCACCAGGACCTGACATTTCTGGCTCAGGGAGTGCTGAGGTCAACCCCATCCAAGCTGACAAGGACTCTGAGTGAAGACCTCAGCACTGAGCACTCTGCACAGCACAGAAGTGTGGATGGCGCAGCTGGGCAGGGCAGGTGGGGAACCTGAGGCCCATAGAGTGGCAGGGCCTGGCTGGGGCCACTCAGCTAGTGACCACCGGGACCAGAGCCAGATTTAGCAGGGAGACCAACTGCCTGGTGTTTTCTGGGACGCAGGACTTTCGGTGCTAAAACTGGGGCTGTCCCCAGGAAGCCAGGACAAACTGGTCACCCTAGATTTATATGGGTCCACAAACATTGGCTCAGGTCTTCTCTGTGCCAGGCCCAGGGCCTGGGGGCAGTGAGGGCGTGCCAGACACATTCATCCCTGACCTCTGTGTAGCAGGACACAGTCACGGACACAGCCTACGGAGTGAGGAGGTCTTTGCTGCCCCCAGGCTGGGTTTAGTCCCTGTGTGTGCTCCCAAAGAGCCCTCTGCCTATGCCCTTGTCACGGGGGCATTGGTGGTGGGCCTGAGTGCCTCACTGCATTGAGCTGTATGCACACAGGATTGTGTTTCATCCTTGCCACAGTCCTGTGAAGCAGAACTCTTATTACCCTACCTTACAGATGAGGAAGCCGAGACCCAGAGAGGTTAAGTAACTCACACAAGCTCACACAGCAATAAGGGGCAGAGGCAGGACTAGGACTCAGGTGGCTCAGCCTCAGAGTCCCTGTCTTGCCTGCCTCCACACTGTGCCAGGAGGGAGCATGGTCTCTGTCCATCTCCCCAACTCCACCACTGGTGCCGAGTCCCAGGCCCAGTGTCAGTACATGACGGCTAAATGGGGTCGGAATGGGGAGAAGTGCCGGGACAGAGATGGGAGTAAGGTCAGTGGGACTCCACAGACAGAGATGGCTCCTTGCGGGCCTGATGCAGGCTTCCTGGAGGCAGGGCCATTGGAGCTGGTGCCCAGAGCACTAGCATTTTCCATACATGAGCACTTCCCACCACGTCTGCCATGTCCACCTGGGTCCAGGCCCATCACATCAGGCTCTAGTGCCCTAGCTGGTCTCCCTGCCCCCACGGCGTGACTGTAAACCCACTGCCTTTGCTTTCCAGACCTGAGCAGTTTGATCAGAACCCAGCTCAGCTTGGAGGTGGCCCAGAGAAGCCTGTGCAGAGCGGGCCCTGGGCCAGAGACCAGGGAAGAGGGAGGAGCTGGCCACAGGCAGGAAGAAAGCATAGAGTGCCACGACCACTGAGACCTCCTGGCCTCAAAGTTTCAGTCGGGGGCACTAGGGGCTGCAAGAGCATCCCCAAGCATCCGTCCCTCTTCTAGCCATCCATCCTTCCTTGTAGCTTCCCTTCTATCCATTCATCCATCTTTCTGTCCTTCCTTCCATCCTTCCATTGATCCATCCATCCTTCTGTCTATCCATTCTTCCATCCATCCATCCATTCATCCTTTAGCCTTCCATCCATTTATGGACCATCTTCTGTGGGCCTCGCTCATGGTCCATGTCTCTATAGAAGGTAGAGGAGAATGCAGTGAAACTATATGCACAGCTCTGTAAAGCACCCACTGACAGCGCCAGACCTAAATGCACAGCGTCCCAGCACCCCAGAGCTGGAAGGGGGCTCAGAGCATGGGAACACGAAGTCCCAGTCTGTTCACTCTGCCCCACGGCCACCTGCCTCAGCACAGATGGAAGAAAAACAGTGCAGAGTGCCAGTGCCATGGCTGACACCTCAGACCAAGGGCTGCAGCCACCTCTACCACCCCAGACCACAGTCCAACACTGGGCCATATGCCAGGGCCCTTGTGCCTGCCACCTAGCTCCTGCACCCTGGGAATGGGAGGCAACACGGTGGTACACAAAGACCCCAAGATTCAGAGCCAGGCAGGCTGAAGTCCGACTCCTGGCTCTGCCACCTCCTCGCCATGTGACAAGTGAGATCCCCTCTTTGAGACTCAGTCTCCTAAGCTGGGAAATGGCAATGCTGAAATCCATCGCACGGAGTAGTTGTCAGAATTAAATGAGGGCTGGAGGGCAAGTGGCCCTCATGTGGTGGGTGCTCAGTGACGCGAGGTCCCTGTCCCTGCTGCCTTGGTTCTCCAGCTTCCTGGGTCCTGGGGGACAGGCTCATCTGCCCTGGGATTTGAGTCTTGCCTTACTGAATGCCGTCCCCTCCACATCAGCTCTCTCGGGACCACATTGCTGAAGTGCTCACAGCCTGCACAGGAAGGGCCAGCTGCACAGGCCACAGCCATCCAAGTGGCCAGGTCTGTGTAGAACCGCCCCACTGAGAGTTGGGGGAGGGCTGGGAAGGCCTGCTGGGTGGCACAAGCGTGCCGCTCTCGGCCTGCTCCCCAAACCTGGCCACTGGCCTCCATGCGACACAATTCCAGAGTGACTTAGAATCTCAGGAACACAGGTGGTTCTATTACCCCTCAAGCTGGAAACAGACCTCCACAAACCGTGGCAGGGACCTGGCTCCTCCAACGTTCCTGCGACAGACCAGACTGAAAAGGCCTGGCAGTCTTGAGGTTTCCTCCCCGTGAAGACAAACAACTCTAATCATCGGGCTGGTGTCAGGGTTAAGCCCGAGGATCATTGCAATCCCAGAGCCTGGGCATGGTTTCTTTTATCAGAGGCCATGAGGAGAATTTGCAGGAGAAATAATACTGATCGGGGTGAGCGAAGGCCCCCAAATGCAAATGTGTGAGCACAGGACCCGTGAAAGGCAGCTTTAGTGAGCAAGCAGCTTGGTGCAGTCATTGCTGGAGACCAACTGCGACCTGAGGCCACATCAGTGAAGTGCTGCATCTAGAATACGGAGCTGTAAGACCCAGTGTGCTTGGAACCACAATTTGGTCTGAAACAGAAGGAACTCTGACCAATGGAGCAGTTCAGAGGTCAAAGGGACCCTAGTGAGAAAGGAACTGGAGACCAGGGTAGGACCGGTCAGGGCATAGGGCCACTGACTCAGGAGGAGGAGGGAGGGGCCTGGGGGCTTTGAAGGACTGGTGGGTAGAAGGGGCAGCAGCCTCGCTTGCGTGGCCCTCCAGAGAAGACCGCCCCAGGGGCTGACTGTGGCCCCGTAAGGAAGCACTGCTCTCCAGTTTGAGCTGCTAGGGTGTGGGCTGGTCTGTTTTGGGAGGTGGTGAGTTCCCCATGGTGGAGGCATGCAAGTAAGGCAACATTACCAAAAAAAGGCTGTCTATTACAAATGCTGTAGAAGGGCAAGGGGTTGGGTCAGTTGACTGTCCAGTCAGCATCCAGGTTCTCTGATGCAGCCCACCTGGGCCAAGAGAGGAGCTCTGAGGGCCGGGCAGGCCCTGACCTACCTTCTCCCGGCTGCTGTGGGCGGTCAGCGAGCGGTGGGCTGCTCCGCGCAGGGCTGTCCTGTAGTTGTAGAAATTCCCTGTTGGGTCCATCTGGTGCTGCAAGGAGACAGAAGCGTTTGGACTGCTGCATCCTGGGGATGGCCAGTGGCCCCTGGCTGCCCAGCAACCTTGCTTACCTCGAGGACGAAAAACTTGGCTGTCTTCACTTTGGCCCAGGTTTTCTTCAGCCGGGAGACAGGGCTCATGTTCATGCCGGCTGGAAGATGGAGGGCCAAGCTGGGGGCAACTCGGGCTGCACAGTCCTACTCACTCGCTCGGGCTGGAGGCCTCTGCGGGTCCCAGCTGGCCCAGCCCCTCAGGTTGTACCCTGACCAAGGCTGAGGTCCGCAGTGGCCTCTGCCTGCCAGACTATGGATGGATGGTGGTGGACATTGTGACTCTGTGCATGCAGGTCCCTGTCCCCGTCCCCACCACACTGGCCCCATACTGTGGCCAGGGCCTGCTTTGGGTCCCTGCTCCTCCTGGATCTGGGGACGCACTGCCAAGCCCTACCAAGCACCCTGAGGAGGCTCAGCCGGCCTCAAGGGCACCTCCCCTGAACCTCTGGGACGGGAGGTGGGCCCAGCCGGCACCGACCCCACCCAGAGGAGCACTCTGGCTTGCAGCCTGTCTGCCTGAGTGCACCCCCTTCAACCTTTCTGGGGGCACGTGCATGGGGGGCCCCAGGCCGGCCACACAGACTCACAGATAATGGCCATCAGGGAGTTGAAGTTGCCAATGTTGAAGCATTCGCGGGCCACGTCAATGAAGAACTCGATCACCTGCGCCCTCTGCTTCTTCTTGGCTGGCTGGGGACAGGGAGCCTGAGGCTCAGTGATGACATGCTCCCACCCGGCCCTGCCTAGACCTCTGCTCGTCAGCCTTCTCTAAGCCTGTTTCATAGCAGAGGCGCTCTCCCAGGGCAATTCATAGACTGAGGGCTCAGGGTCTCAGGCACGTTCTGGGCAGAGCCGGCACAGAGCCCAATGCCATGGAGGGCTCAGCTCGGCCTGGTGGGACTCTCTTGGGGCTGAGGGCTCCCCGGGATGTCTGCCTTCAGGCCCAGCTCCAGCACGCCCCCTCCAGAAGCAGAAAGCATGGCTCCCTCGCCCTCCTCCCAGCACCAAGCTTGCTCTCCCCACATGATGCGGGGGCACGTGCTGACGCCAGACCCTGTCCTCTGAGCAGCCCCTCCACCGCTTTCTGTAGAATGACTGTGTGCCTTCAACCCCAGCTTGTGGCCGAGGTTGAGACATCAATCTCTCTGATGGCTCAGAACCAAACTCTGTCCTCCCGCGGGTGGGGGATAAAGGCCAACCCTTCCGGCCCCGGGTGGGCTGTCCTACAGGAAACACTCCCACAGGGAGAGGCATCGCAGATCAGCTTCTCCTTCTGAGCAGTCCTGCCTCTTCCCCTTTCTCTGTCACAGGTGCTGACCCCTCATAAACACCTCGTCCCCCAAGTTCTGTCTCAGCATCTGCTTCCGGAGAGCCCAACCTGGCAGCCACGCTGCCTGTGATCTTTCCCTGACAAGTGGCCTTGGGGCTTGACGGGAGAGTGGGTTCAGAGGAAGGTCCCTCTGCTGTAAGGAAGAGAAGAGGGTGGAAGGGTATGGCCCGGTGGGACCGTGGCCCAGGGACAAGCACGTCTGGCTCAGCGTTGCTGGGTCTTCCTGCTTTCCAGGAGAAGCCAGGGACCTAGACTTTGTAGGTGCAATCTCCCAATTCTTAATAGTTAGGTCATTTCTACCTCTCAGTCCTGAGCCAGCCAGGGACGAAATGTGGCTGCAGCCCAGGCCACCACGGCAGACAGGCCCAGATGCAGGAAGCAGAGCCCCTTGCGGGAACATCAGCTGCCCCTCACTCCTTCAGCAAGCAGTCTCTGACACCCTCGTCAGAGGCCATGGATCCCTGCCAGGCTCTACCCAGGGGGCAAATGTCACTGCAGGCAAGCTGGGTGACACCGGGTGACCTGGAGGGATGCTTAGCCTGGCCCTGGGCTTAGAGATGCATGGGCTCAGGAGGCCCTCTGGTTCCCTCCCGGTGGGCTCCTTCCACACCCGGCCACCTTTGGCTGTGCCAGGCCATGCCCCCGGCTTTCTACGCACCATGCAGATCTCAGTTGCCACGAGGTAGCACAGTCTGTTGAACCACTTCACATAAGCCTCTAGGTTGTCAGTCTTGTCACTGAAACAGGGCTGGGGAAGACATAGGACCAGTTTTTCTGTCAATAATTTTTTGAACATGAAGTCAGTTCATGATCATTATAGACAATCTGGAAAAACGCCGAAACCTCAAAACCATCCACAAATACCAATGATTTGATGTGTATCTTTCTAGTCTTTTTTCTATACGCTTAAAAATGTAATTTAATGTGAGATCTATTAATATGAGATATATATATATATATATTTACACAGTTGATCATTATTCCTAAATTCTGTATTTGTAAATCTGTTTACTCTCTAAAAATTTGTTTGTAACCCCAAAATTAATACTCTGATCACTGTCACTGTCATTCATGCATGTGCAGAGTGGCAAAACCTTTGAGTCGCCGGCCGCACCTGTGCATTCCCAGCTGAGGCTGAGCTGGGCGACGCCCTGCCTTCTCATTTCAGCTCCAACACTGTAAACAAGTGTCCTTTTTGCGGTCTATTTAGTGTCATGGATATTTCACTGCTTAAAGTGGCCCCCAACCGCAGTGCCTCCGCCCTGTGTCGCTTCCCTAAGCCCGTGAAGGCTGTGATGGGCCCGAAGGAGAGAACACGCCTTAGCTAAGCTTCGTCCAGACATGAGTGACAGTGCTGTAGGCATGAGCCCAATGTTACTGAATCAACAACGTGCATTAAATAAGGTATCTTTAGACAGAAACACACATACACAGGTTATATACCGACTGGTTGATGAAAACTTTGTGATGAGAGGCTCACAGGGGCCTGCCTCTGCGTTTCCACAGAAACGGTGGCTCTGTGCTCACTAATTCAGTGCTCACGACGACCACAGGCTGTAACTTCTGTGAACCACAAGAATCAACTGTATGTCTCTATGTATCCATCTATCTGTATGTAACTGTAGATATAGGTCCATATTTTTCCACATGAACCTTTCCATGTGCCATAAACTATCATTTGGAAATATAATTTTTTAAATCGATATAGAATATTCCACTGTATAAATGTACCATAATTTAAAAGAATCCACAAGAAGGGAAAAAAGGAAACAGAAAAGATGAGAAACATAATGGAAAAGTACAAAAGAAGAGAGTAAAAACAGATCCACAGAGATCAGCAATTACATTCACTGCAATGAAAAAAATCCAGCCTCTTGCTATTTTTGAGAGACACACCCCAAGCCCAAGGATACAAGTGAAAAAATAGAAAAATACATATGATAAATATCACCTAACTAAATTACTATTAGACAAAATAGACTTTAGGGCAAAAAAACGACTCTAAGGCAGAAAGCACTGGGAGAGTTTAAAGGATACTGGCACAATGACAAGCGGTCCAATTGATCAGGAATGTGTCACAAGTCTAAATTTGTTTGCACCGAATAACATAGCTTCAAAATATGAAAGCAAAAATAATAATAAAGTTCTTTATAAGGAGAAAATTAAGAACACCTGTTCATCAAAAAACATAGTAGTGAGAATGAAAGCAACCAACCAGGAGAAGAAAATTTGCAGTCTGTTTAACTGACAAAGGATAATTAACTAGTACATATTAAAAAAACCTCACAGAAACTCTTAAAAATCCCTAAGAAAAAGACAAATCATCAATAAAAAACTGGACAAAAATCAGGGACAGACATTTCATAGAAGAGAAAACAAGAATGTCCAAAACACAAGAAAAGATGCTCCATTTAACTGTTTAACAAAAATGAGAAAGTCTGACAATCTCCAGTGTCTGTGAGGACGTGGAGCAAGGACAGCTCTCTGCTGGGAGTGTGAACGGCGCAGCCACGTGCCCAGCCTGGGATGCACGCAGCGAGCCCCTCCAAGGTAAGCCTAGGGCAACAGAGCTCAGAGCTGTCCATGGACTCCCGGGGGCCCTGGGACCCCTTCAGAGGTCCACAAGGACAAAGCAACTTCCATATTTACACAGTGTTACTGCCCTTTCACGGTGTTGACATTTGCGCTGATGTGGAAAAGAATGGTGCAAAAAACTGCTGCCACTTCAGCCGGAATCAAGGCAGAGGCCCCAGGCCACTCCAGTGGTCACTGCGTCTGTCACTGCCACACACTCACAGTAAAGGACAAAAGCGAGTGTGAGTTGAGAACGTCCTCGAGGTGGCAAAGCTTCTCCACTTTTATGAAATCTCAGCCCTTGAGTACACGTCTTTGGCGTGTTCTACATGACGAAAGGAGACCACCTGGACGCCTTCTGCCTCCCGCGGTCTGATGGGGTCCAGAGGGAAGGCCCAGAGCGAGCGCCGCGGGAGCCGAACGACCGCTTCCCCACAGACACCGTTCCCACCTGACGGAAGGACTGACCACCTACGGTTTCCAGACTTCACTATTTGACTGATATTGTCTCGAAAACGAACAAAATGAGCCTGTCACTTCAAGGAAAACAAGTGATAGTATATGTTGCCAATGATAAAATTCACATTTTTAAGAGAAAATTGGACACTTGTCGAACATGTATCCGCCTCAGTACCTTGACAGCTTCCTAATATTTAAGGACTTTTTTGGGTTGAGATCAGTATGATATTAATGAATGTGATTTACAAATATCATGTAATGAAGCGTGCCAACATTCCTAAGAACTTCTTGGTTCAGTGAACTCATATTTCCCAAACGACCAACAGATGACATTACAAAGTCACGCCTGGGCAAGAAATCCCTTCGAGCTGCAAGACGGACCAGTGGGCTCGAATTAACAGAACGTCCACTGGCTTATTTTCAGATTTCAAATAGCAATTGATCTCAAAAAACTACCACTTGCTGAGTTTCAGCATAGTAGCAAAGGAGAATATTCACAACCCCCTGAAAAGGCTGTAAATACTGCCCCCTTTTCCAACTACATATTTGCGTGAAGTTGGATTTTCCACCAGAACAATGCAGGTTAGGAGACAACGCAGACGCAGGCAAGAGAATCCGGCTGTTTTCTGTTGTCTGCCACTAAAGAGATTTACAAAAATACTGTAAAACAATGTCACTCTTCTCAGCACTTTTTTTTAATTTTGGAAAATATAGTTATTTTTCATAAAATACGTTACTTATATTAACATGTAATGAGATATTGTCATTTTGGGATAAATAAATGGCTAATAAGATAAGTATCGGCAGATATAATCCACAAAACCAAAGGTTCTTTGGGGTCAACCGTAGTTTTCAAGAGTGGAAAGGCATCCTGGGACTGAAACATCTGAGAACCGACGCCCTAGAAAGCTATGCCCCCGTGTGCAGCAGGAGACGTGTAAGAAGGCCCATGGCAGCAATATCCACAACAGCGAAAGGCTGGGAACGACACAAACGTCCACCTCCAGGAGAGCGGGTGAGTAAATGCCACGTGCAGTCTTGATGTCCTTCACAATAAAAAATAACAAGTATTTGGAAATGGCCAAAAAAGCAAAACAAAACAAGAGCAAACAACCCGCTGTGAGCAGCAAAATTGCCTTCCCACCGCGGCCCGCACTAGGCTCCGAGCGGTGGCTGTTCCTGGAGGCGGCGACACGCATTTGAAGCAGATCCGGATCACGCACGCACCCTTCTGTTGTTGTCACACAAATGGTCACATATGCTTTGTTACTGCTTTTCACTCTAATTTTTTCTTGACAAAGGATCTTGGTGATTATTCCACACTTACAGTCATTCTTATTCTTTTTAAGAGTTGCATAGCATTCCCTGCATGGATTTTCGTTATTATCTTCAATTCAATTCCAACTCCTAGTGCCGCGTGGACAGCAGCGCGGAATCCTGCCTGTCTTTCTGCACCAACCTCTCCCCTTCCAGCTTGCACCAGGCAGTGCTCCGCTGCCATTCACAGGGTTTTCATGTCAGTATTTTTGAAAGTGGGCGGCCCCATCCTTCTTCCGAGTCTGTCTTAACCGGGAAGCTCCACTGAAGCCTGTCCACCATGGGTCACCCTGCTGGAATTTGAAATCCCCATGGCAGAGCTTTCAGCATCACTGCGACATGCAGCTGCCACAGTGTCGGACAACTTCTGCGGGGAAACAAACCCAGACGTGGCGCTGAGAGTGCGAATCTTAACCACTAGAGCCCTAGGGCTGGCTGTGTACGGATGTGTTATAATTTTTAGTCCAGTCCCCATGGATGATAAAATAATTTGCTTCCAGCCTTTGGTCATAAAACACTGTATATCCCAAATATGTTTGTGTGTACATCTTTGTGTACATGGGTGTGCATATCTGTAGGATAAAGTATTAGGTGTGGAAAGTTGAGGTCCAGAGTGCACACTTCAAGCGTTGATGCTGTTGCCACTCTGCCCTCCAATGCGGCTGTGCCAGTGTCACCCCCACCAGCCGCGTATGAGAGCATCCCTTTCCCTCGGCACTCACAGTGTTTAATCTTTGCTCAGAGTCACAGTGTATCTTTGCTCCTGTGAGCAGTGAAAAAGCCATGGCGTATTCAGTTTGCACTTCTTTTACTAGGCGCCAGGGCAGAAGACACGTTTCCACTTTCTGCTCGGATTTAACCCCTTGAGAAGCACCAGGCACCCTGGTGGTTGGGCTCTGAGAGTGGAGGGGCGGACTCTGAAATGCGACGTGCGGAGGCGGCCGAGCGCCTGGCCCCAGGGCCACAGCACTCACCCGAGGCAAGAGCGCGCCCTGACTCTCCGGGGGCTGCGCGCTCCAGCCGGCGCTTCCCCGAGTGGCCACTGGAGGGCCCGACGCCCACCGGAATGCCCGGGGAGGGCGCGCGGGGCTGGAGCGCCGGGCACCCTCCTCCCTCCCTCAGCTCCCCGCCACCCCTCCGCCCTCGCTGGGTGGGTGACCGGCTGGGCGCGTGCCGCCCTCCCAGGCTTCCCCGGGACTCCAGCCAGGGCGAGCTGGAGGAGCACGGGCGGAGTGGACGCGCCTCTTCAAGCCCATGGCCCGCTCTGGGCCCCTGAAGCTCGCCTAGCTGATGCTCGCGAGCTCCCCGCAGGGCAGTGGGTGGGGGTCACTGCTGGGACAGCCCGTCCAAGGACCTTCTACCTTTGTGCCGGCCAGAGGGTCTTTGTTCACAAAAGCCTGGACAAACTCCTCAGGCCCGATGTGTCGCAGCCGTTCCTGCACCGGGAAGGAGAAGAGGAGTCAGGTCAGGGGGAGGGTATGGGAGGGGGTGCCCCTGGGGGCCTGGCAAGGTGCTCCTGCGGGCTCCCTGCCTCCCAGTGGGCACCTCCCTTCTCAGTGGGGCTCCACGACCCCGTTCTGGGTTGTCACAGAGCTCAGCACCGTCCCTGAAGGAGGCAGCCCCTCTTTCCCACGCCCCGGGGCTGCTGTAATTCATGGGGCCAGTGGGCAATGTCCTATAGGGAGTGCTTGTGGGGTGCGATACCTGGGAAACCAGGCTTGAAATGGGGTAACTGATGACCTGCTTCCTCGGCGGGAGGCCTGATGGCTAAGAGCATGGGGTCTGGCTGAGAACTGAATCCTGGCTCTGGCTCTTCTGCTGTGTGACTTCTGGCAACTCACTTAAACTCTCTGGGCCTTAGTTTCCTCATTTGTGAAAAGGGAATAATAATAGTACTTACATGGCAGGGCGGTGTGGGGTATAGTGCCTGGAAGGCAGCAAGGGCACCATAAATGTGGAGGTTTAAAAGAAACCCACTCCCCAGCCTCCTCTCTGCCCTTGACCTCCGCATCTGCAAGGAAACTAACGCCCTGGAGGCTGGGCCGGGGCGTCCCCTTCGCAAGCAGGAAGGCGTGTTTGGCTTCTCTGGAAAGCTGGGTGGGCACAGCGTGTCTGTGTGAGTCAAGGGGGGGGGGTCGGCGGGGGAGGCTGAGGCCTGGGTGAGGAAGGCAGCAGCCCTGGGAGGGTCACACAGCAGGGGAGTTGGAGCGAGGATTTGAACCTAGTTCTTCTGTCCCAGGCTTTGCGTCTCAGGCCGGCCAGGGTCAAAGTTGGGCAGGGCTGGCACCTCCAGCCCTCCTGTTGCTTGCCCCGGGAGTGGTGAGAGGCTGCTCCAGCGTCCAGGGCCCTCTGGAGGTGCCCGGCTGGCCCTGCTGTGACGGGCTCAGGCCCTGGGTTATGCTGAGACAGGCCGGGGGCCGGATGGGGCCAAGGGTGTCAGCTGTTCTCAGTTGTTCCTGGCTCTGATCTGGGCGGAGGGCAGCGTCGGCCTGCTCACCAGCTCCACGTGGGTCAGCTGCTGGGCCAGCATGTAGGGGTCACTGCAGACGCCGAGGAGCTCCCTGTGGATGGAGGCCGGCGGCTTGGTCCTGTAGGAGATGGGCTTGTCGGCACCCAGCACTCCTTCCGGCCCCTGGCCCAGGGCCACCAGCTTCTGGTGCAAAGCCTGCAGGAGCTGCTGCATCCTCTTTCTGTATGCCTAGAGGGGTGGAGAGAGGGGCGCTCAGGCCCAACACCCATCTCTGCCTCTCTCCCATCTGAGGGGTCAGGCCCCGGGCTGGCAGGGATGGGCTGCCCCACCTGAAGCAGGACCCAGTCCAGGGCAGGTCAGGGGCCACAGTTGAGGCTGGCTGGGGAGGAGGCTGCAGGGTTACCAGTGGGAGCTGAGAGGAACTCAGCCAGGGAGGGTGACCAGGGTCCAAAGCCATCCCTGCTATCTGGGCAGCAGGCAGAGTGGACACTGCTAGGGGCAAGAAGGGACAGAGGAGATGTGGAACGGGCTCTGCCCTGGGCAACTGACCTTTGCTTTAATGGGGGTCCCTCCTGCCTACGGTTTGTTTACAGAATGACAGCCTGGCCTGGGCAGGGAGTCTGTGTTGCCATCTCTGTGCTGTCAGAGCCACGCATGCAGTGGGCGTGTGCCCACGGCAGCCGTGCTGACAGAGCCCCTTACTTTCACGCAGGTGGCTGGGCCCGTATTTTGGGCCGCCATGGGCTGTGCAGGGGTGAAGGCCACCACCCCACCCTCGAGGCCGCCCACCTCCCCACCCCCATGGGGAAGCTGATTCTTTCCCCCTCAGAGACCCCTATTTCTAAGGAAGGCGCCATCAGACCAGCTGGGTTCAGCAAGCAAGACATCTGCATGTTCCCAAGGGGTGGGGCAGTGACCCGCAGAATGAGCCCCCAGGTCAGCAGCAAAGGGCCCCCCCGGGTGGTTTCGAGCCCACCAGCCCAGGAACCGATGTGGCGGTGGCAGTGGGCATCAGGGCCTGGCCCCCTGCAGATGGGTGGGCCCCTGCCGGCCTGGCTCAGGGGCTGGGAGGAGAACGGGTGGTGGGCTGTCAGGACCACCAGGCAGTTTCAGATGGAAAACACAAGCCCAGCGGCACTTCGTCTGGCTTGCTGGGCCCAGTGTGCCTGGGGGCTCGACGGTCCCTCAAGTCTCTGATGGGGCTCAAGGGGCCACTGAGTCCAGCACTGTTAGAGCCCATAGTGCTGGTGTGGTGGTGGCTTCGCCAGCCCCTTATGGAAGTGCTTCTCTGTGCAGTGGCCCTGGCGACTGTGGTGGAGCCGTCACGACACAGGGAACAGGACAGGAGGCTGCCTAGCCGACCCCTAATGCCAGCTCCTGGGGCCCTCTGGTGCCGCGGAAGGAGCAGCCCTCCTGCTCTGTGCTGCCAGCCTGCTGCCCCCCGCCCCCGCCTTTGTGTGTGGGAACGTGAGCCAGCCCCAGCGACAGTCTGCCACCTGTGAGCCACGTGTGCCACCCGTCTCTCTCCTTCTCCTAGCCAGTGGTGTCTCAGGGGCTTACACTGGCTATCACACCCCTCATCTCCCACTCGCTCCTCCCCCACCGCAACGGCTCTACTTCCCTCAGCCTCCGGGCCGCTCTTGCTGCCTCCCCAGCACCTCCTGTCCAAAAAGCCAGGGGCCGTCTCTCAGGCTGCAGCTGCCCTGGCCTTGACCTCAGCCCCCTGTTCCTCCTACGCGGGGCTGTTCACAGGCCTGGCTGCTGCTGTGGCTGCACGTGGGGTTCCTCCTGGCCTCGTCCATTCTTCTCATTCCTGGCTCGCTGGCTCATGTCCAGGGTGTTATTTGGTGTTCGTGTGTGGACAAGGCCCAGTTTGCATGTGCCACATGGCCTGGGGTCACCCCGACCTGCCTGGGGCTCTCCTCACCCAGAGCCGCGTCCTCTGCCCACACCCTGGTCTCGGTGGCTGGAGCAGGACCGTCAGGTGCACGGCCCGGATCCGTCCCCAGGCTGCCACCAGCCCTCCTGATTTTGCTTTCTTCTGATTCCATGCTTCGTCTCCCACCATGGGCTCCATGGTCCAGGCCATTGTAATCTCCCTGGCGGCTGCGGGGGGGGCCCCCCACGCTCATGCTGGCCTCTCTCCACTGCCCTCTGCGGCCAAAGCAGTCTGTTCAGAATGCACGTCTGACCTTAAAATGCCTCCACGCTTTTGCAGAGATGAAAGCCCCGCATGGCTTGGAGGACCTGAGGTCAGCTCTGGCCACGCTCAGTGGCCTCCACGTGGCCCTTGCCCCCCTTCCCTGTGCTCCAGACGCAGGCCCCTCCTCCATCCTTGGACCCCTTTTCTACCCCTACCCCGCTGCCCCGCAGGGCCTGTGTAGCCTTCTCCCTCTTGGCATGCTCTTCTCATCTCTGGAGCTCAGAGTGCTGGGCCCTTCCCTCGCAGCCCCTGCCCGCGCCACGCCGGAGGACGACCCTCTTCCTGTATCCCCTCGTGGGACTGCCGGCTCCGTGAAGACAACACCGGGTCGCTCTTTGCTCATCGCCAGCATGAAGGGCGGTGCCTGGCTCATAGGAGGTGACCGCATTTGCTGACTGGACGAACGTGGCCTTCACCTGCCTTGGGTCAGTCAGCCTCTCCAGGGTGGACTGCGGGGCCCTCCTGACGTCCAGGGTGCCGTGCGCCTGTGCCTACGGTTTGACAAAACCATGCGCTTACGCTACTTAAAAAATACTCAGATAATTTAGCAGGACTTGTTTCTGTTGAACCAATATTCACCCCAAAGAATTGCCGTTGCCTGTTTTCTAATTCATTTAGAACTCTTCCAGTGGGTCAACCTCCAGCTTAGCTGTTGGTCTTTCCTGAATGTTCTGCTCGTCCTCTGAGGCTGGGGACAGTGTTGCCCTTCCCCTGACCTCCTCTCACATTCTCGCTGACTTCTGCACACTGTGGGTGGAGGCCCGGAGAGCTCCTCAGTGAGTCTGAGCAGACCCAGAGCCCCCCTGAGGCCGTTGAGGCGTGCCTTGTCCCTGCCAGGAGCCCACGTTACGGAGCACAGGGCGTGCCTGGCATGGCGCAGCACCCTGGTCAGCGTGCCTGCGTGCCTGGGTGACAGGGCCTGGGCTGTGTTCTCGTCCCTTTCCCCGGGCCGCCTCCTGTGTGCACAGACCCGGCGCCAGTACAGAGGTCGTCCAAGGGTGGCAGCCGCAGCTCTCCAGGTGTCTCCGGGTTCTCTGGAACCGGGCATGTCGTGGTTAGAGTCCCTGGCTCTGGCCGGACAAGCACAGACCCCTGTTCTCTGAAGTTCTTGCAAACTTCCTTCGGAGCAGCCCAGGGCTGACGTCCAGTGGGCTCAGCTGCTCTGCATGAGTCGGAGCTCTGAACCCAGAGCCCAGTTTGTTCTCTTTGTCAGCTGTCTGCCACCTGTGCCCTCGGGGGAGGCCTCCGAGGCAGTGGGGTCGGTCCAGCAGACAGTCACGTGGGTGGGAAAGTAAGATCAGTCCCAGGAGGGCTGCCTGGTGTCAGCCTCCTCCGCGGGCCCAGTGGGTGTGGCCAGAGCATTTTTTTCCTCTTGTCCTGTCTCCCTCACCACAGCTGCGACCTCTGGGCCTTCTCTGGGCTCCCCCAGCCTCCGTCAGCCTCGGGACTAGCTTCCCTGAGCTGAAACTGCTGAGTCTAACCTACCAGGAGCCCCTCCAAGGCAGGCTCCCCTGCCTGGCACAGGTGGTCCGGAGCAGCATCTGGCTGCAGCAGCTCTGTGCTGGAAAGGTTTCCATGGGTCTCCAGAACCCACAGTCATGGAGAAGGGCCTCCTCACTCCTTCCAGCCTTCTGTTCCCAGCTACTGAGAGGTGGTGGGGAGGACAGTGAGGACATGAACCTTCCAGGAAATGGCAGAGGGCACAGGAGGAGGCAAAGGTGTCACCTGTCATGGCTGCACTGATGGGGAGGCCCACTTGACCCTGGCCCTGTGCTGTCGCCTCCACATCCCTGAGCTTATTGTTCTCCTCACAGCCCTATGAGGCAGGGATTATCATCCTCCCTCTTTAGAAAGGAATTTAAAACTCAGAGAGGTTAAGTAACTTGCCCAAAGATACACAGCTCTGAAAACACTCGTGCTCATCTCACTGCCTTGTGCCCGGCACTTTATGTCATTTGATTCTATGCCTGTGTGAGAATCCTTACAAGAAAATGCTGAAATATTTTTGGAGCAAAAGATATAATGTCTATGATTTGTTTAAAAATAATTTGGAGGGAGGGGGACGTGCATGAAGGCATAGAAGAAACAAGTTTGGCAAAATGCTGATAATTGTTGAAGCCAGCTGAAGGTTCATTGAATTCATTGAATTCATGGTTGCTCTTCTCTGTTTGTGTATATTTGAAATGTTCCATGACAAAAGTTCCATGAAAGTTAAAAATAATCCCAATATGCCTGAATTTTGGAAAGAATTGGACCCTCATCATAGCTTGCATTTCCCAGGTGCTGAAATAAGAGCTCAGGTGACTTCAGGGACTCTGCTGCAAACCTGCGTGGTGGGGACCGTTGTCATCTCCATTTGACTGTTGAATGAACTGAAGCTCAGAGACACGAAGCACCTTGCCCAAGGTCACACAGCTATGGTTTCCAAGCCTGCATCTGGCTCATGCTCTGAGTCCTGAGGCCCTGCTTTGTCAGTCTGGCCTGTGGCTCCCAGCTCCCCTCTGAGCTGAGCCCCGGCCCGAGCTGGGAGGTGCCGCAGACCACCTACAGCGTTCAGGGCAGGCCAGCCCTGGAGGACATCCCCTTTGCAGCAGGTGCTTTCCGCAGAAGGGCAGCTTGAGGAGCACAAAGACACGTGGGAGAACCCCTGTCCCAGGCCAGGGTGGGTGGGGCGGAGCCGGGGAACTCTGGTTCCAGCCCACACTGCTCAGCACACCTAACTGGATCCCAAGAGAAGGAGCAGGAAGTGTTCTGAATGACTTTTTTCTGCTCTGAAAACCCACGCCTGGGGGATGACCGTTCTCCATTCACAGGGCTCCGTTGTACCTTATTTTCACCCACTAGGTGGTTAGAAAAGATTTCCCAGCACAGCCCTGACAGCTTCTTGGGAGCTGGTGAGGAGGCTCCGCTTCTGGAGGAAACCAGCCCAGGACTTACACCCATCCTCCACCAGCGCAGCCAGGAGGGCAGGGTCTGCCTCTGAAATGGCTCCCCCAGTGGCAGAGGCAGGCCTGATAAGGGAGGGTAATCCCATCTTGGCTTAGACCTCAGGCAGCTGAAGGCCTCCTGGGAAGAGGGAGAAAGCAAGAGACGGGGCTCTTCCCCCCTTATGTACCCTTTACTCCACCCATCCATCCATCCATCCACCCACCCAACTATCCATCCACCTACTCACCCATCTGCCCACTCATCCATCCATCCATCAGCCATGTATCTCCTACCTACTCATCTGTACATCCATCCTTATTCACCCATCCACTCACCTTCCCATCCATGTTCTCACCCACCCACTGACACCCACACATACCCATACACCTACCCTCCCATCCATCTATTCATCCATCCACCCACCTACCTATCCACCATTCCTACCTTTCCCCCTCCCTTCTTTCCATCAGTCTTTCCTCATCCACTTGTCCCATAAATTCACCTACCTACCCAACTACTCAAACATCTGTCTTCCCGCCTCTACTCATCCGTCAAAGTAGCCAATTGTCTATCCAGCCAGTCAGCAAGCATCTCCCTTCCCTGCTTCTACCACTCCATCCTGATCCGTCCAATCCTGGAGGCTTCCCTGACCCTGTTCCCTGCTGCATCCTAAGCCAAGTGACATGATCCCCAGATGAATCGGGATGCAGAGGGAGGAGGAGAGGACCCTCATCTCACTGAGCCCTCAGAACAGCTAGCTTACTTGCCTGCTCTGTGAAGTGACCCCGGGGCAGGGCCTCCCTCTCTGAGCCTCAGTTAGCCCTCTGCTTTAGAGCTTCCATAGTCCAGCCTGCCTATCAGTTCCCCTGTGCTCCACGTGCAGCCGGCTCTGCCATGTCCAGACGCACTCTGGGGCACATTACTAGCTGCTAGCTTGCCACATTCAGCCTCCTCCCAGGGCTGCTGACATGCACTCCCTGCACTGTTCTCTCCTTCCAGATAAAGCAGCATCAGTGCTGGCCACAGCATCATTCTGGAGTGGCCAATAAACCTGCCCCTTCTAAAGGTGCCAGGAGACCTCTGTCCCCTTCACAGGGCCCTTCTCTGTATTCTCACCATAATCCTGGGGTGGGAATTTTTGTCCTGCTTTCCTCCATTAGGGAAGTGAGGCTTGGAGACCTTTAAGTGCCTTCCCCAGTGGAGCACAGCTGGGAGAGCCAGGCAGGGTTGGGGGCACAGAGGTACACCGGGTACCCAGGTACACCGACTGCCTCGCAAGCCACTGGAGTGCAAGGGCCATTTACCCTGGAGTGTGGTTTTAGCTGCAGGGGGCACTCTCTCCCCCTCTGCCCAGCCCTGCAGGGTTTACAGCTTACCCCTGGAGGCCGAGAGGATCGCCAGTCAACCTGCCCAGACAGCATGTGGCCGCTATTCCCACTGTTGCTGTTATTTTGGTTCATCCTGCAGAGCCCTTTTCTGCCCCTGACTGGAGGGACCTGGTCCAGGAGTCCTGACTGCCAGCCCAGCCCTGGATGTGGTGCAGGGGCAGGAGGGGGAGGTCTCCGTGGCACTAGGCCCAGGACGAGGGCTCTGCCAGGCTGGCCTAACGGGCCACAGACCAACAGCCTGACCATGTGACCACAAGGTCCCGTGAGGGGATCTTCCCTCGCCCACCATCTGATGCCCTGGATGAGAGCAAGATAGGAGAGAGGTCAAGAGCCCTGGCCTGGACCCGAGGCCTGAGTTGCCTGCCAGGTCTGCAGTGCCCGATTCCCTGATGGGGCAGAAAGGGGTTGATTTGAGAGGAGCTACAGTGTGCAGGTGGGAAGACAAGGCCCCTAAGGGGCCGGCCTGCTGCCAGGGTACAGACAGGTGAAGGATGCTCACCCACCTCATCACAGGGGGCAATGCGGCCCACCATGTCCTTCAGGTGCCTGATGGTCGACTCCTCCTGGAAGTCCCGTGGGAAGGTCTCCATCCACTCGGCCAACAATTGGAGCAGTTTGGGGCCAAACTTCCGGACCTGAGCCTGCAAGGCAAGCGAGGGGCATCCACGGTGGGTGAGGGGTGATCGCGAGGGGGGCCACCTCAGCCACCGCCTCTGCCACTCCCTGCTTGTTCTGTGCCCAGGTCTGAGCCACTGGGTGGCAGTGGCTAAGGCGGGTACAGGCCTTGTGACTTCTCTGTGCCAGGCGACAGGGACGGGTCGTGGGGTTGGGGCAGACCACAGGGAGCAGAGAGGGCAGGCACACTTGGGGAGGGGTCATCTGTTTTTGCTGCCTGGCATCTCGTCCTCCTTTCCGTGGTGACAGCACCTCAGTTTGCCTTTTCTCCCTCACTCCCAGCCGGGGGTTCAGGGGCAGCTGACACCACCCCGGCTCCGGGAGTGGGCCCAGATCAGTGCCAGCCAATCAGAGCACGCACACCCACGTCAGGTGCAGTGACAGGCTTACAGAAGGGCTTATGGCCTAAGCCAATGAGATTGGGTCTTTCCCTGGACCCTACCAAGGGTGGGCGCTCTTTCTAGGGATTGTGAAGGTGGGCTGAGAGGCGGAGCAGTGAGGCCACCTGTCACTGTGCGGCGAGCGCCCGAGAAGGAGGCTGGCCAGCGGAGAACGGAGTGGAGGGCTGGAGGAGAAGGACCACGTTCTAAGGAGGTGGTACTTGAGACTCTGCAGTTACATGAGCCAGTAAAGTCCCTTTGCTTGGGCCATTTGAAGTCGGGTTTCTGTCACTGTAACAGTGGAGCCTGACCCACACACGTATAAATAGACAGGTGCAACCTGAGGCACCTGGTCAGGGACAGAGGAAAGGATATGGGGAACCACAGGAGGCTGGGCCATCAGCGGACCCCCAGAGGAGGGAAGGGTGGAATGCAGGGTGCTGGGGGCAGGGAGCCTGGCATATGCTGCAGGGCCATCCAGATGGCAGGGGTCCTACTGATGGGGCTCTGTGGGCCTGGGTCTGGGCTTGGTGTGAGCTCAAGGGCTCCCATAGGGCACTGGATAATGGCACCTGCATTAAAGATTCTGAGTCTGTCCCTCTGGCTCTGGGCCTCAGAGAAGTCAGAAACCCCCGTGGGCTCCTTCAGGAGAATGGCACAATCACTGCCTCTCCAAGAGGCTGATGCCTGAGGGCATGTCAGGGGAGTGCTGGTACACTCAGAGGCCCCCTGCTTTGCCTGCCCCTCACCTTGTCCAGCACTGGCTTGTCCAGCTGCTGCTGCTCAATGCACAGGTGGCAGACCCGGGCCAGGAGCTCCTGCGGCTCGATGAAGAGGCGGGAGCTCAGCAGGAAGGTGAAGATGTAGGCTTTCTAAGGGGACAGAGAGAAAGGCAGCATGTATTCACAAGGGCATGGGGGGCATGCCTCCCAGCCTACCCCATCCCCTAGGCCCAAGACCAGCGCCAGCCCTGTTGCCTTCTCCACGGCTGCCCAATGTGCCGCCCCTGCTTTCCACTGGGTCAGTCGCTCACCTCAGGGTAGTAATCGGCTGTGGGCACCAGGTACTGGATCAGGGTGTCCAGGGAGGCTGAGGATGGAGCTCCATCCAGGAGAGGCTGCCCAGCCTGCTCACCGTCTGTGGGCTCAGTGGGCGGGGGGCTGAGGCTGCCGCGGGTGACCATGTCGGAGGCGCTCAGTGTCCGCGGCATGTCTGCCTACAACGGCAAGCAGCATTTGGGGCACACCTGAGCTGGGGCCTGCTGGTCCCCTGGGCTCCTGGCTGGGCAGGCCCTGCCTCCCACAAGCACATCTGTGCCCACCTGAGGCCAGTGATCACTTCCTGGGAGGGCTGCCAGGGACCTCCACCCCACAGCACAGCATCCTCTGGGAACCATCTCTCCTTCACTCTCAGTCCAAACCGTTTAGGGAGTGACTCTTTTCAGTGTCCACCCCCACCCCCAATGAAGGTTGTTTTTGACAAGGCCTGGACAGTCAGCATAGCCCCCCTGCCCCTGGCCACAAAGATTGGATCAGAGATGGGCCTGATAGAAACTGGAGAGCTCAGGGGCAATCCCAGAACTTCTGTGGTGCCTGGAAACTCTTTCCCCTGGGACCCCTGAGCTGGTAGAATGGCCCTGTTGGAAACATCTTGTCCCCATAAGGGACCAGGAAAGTGGGCAGGTTCCTGAGGTTGGCGTGTGAGGTCCTGGATCCCGCTGTGCCGGCAGCCACTCTGTGGAATTCTTGATTACATGAGCCTGTTTAATTTGGGTTTACTCTCAGGTGCAGCCAAATGGCTGCCCTCTGTATCCTGGCATCCCAGGCTGTTTGTGGTTAGGACTGGCTGACTCAGCCACCTGTGCCCTCCTGCAAGAAGGCTCCCTGCCATCTTCACTCCTCCCTCCGTCTGGACACGGTTGAGGCTCTTGTCAGCACTGTGAGTGTTGGGGCTCTGCTGTTGGTGCCTGGTCAGAGAAAGGCCACCCGCGATGGTCGTGCAGGGATTTCTCTATCCAAACCTCCTCTGGGCAGGGGTCGGGGCATGTGCTCTGACCTGGCACTGTATCAAGGGCCTGGCCTACAGCAGGAGCCCGTCCACGCATGTGCAGTGCAGCCTTTCCCAGGCTCTTCTACGGACCCGATAGGCCAGTCTTCCTGAACAAAGCCTGCCAGGGCCTTCACAGCAGCCAGGCCTGGCCAAGCCTGGGACTGTTTGACCATCCCCTTTGCCGGACATTCAAGTTGCCCCCACATTCTTAACCATGGAGTCCTGTGGGCTTACCACAGGGACTTCCGAGGGTTTGCCTCCCCATTGCCCTGCTCACCTCGCCCCTGCTGCCCTCATGGCAGACCCTGACACGGGTGACCTGGCCCTGAGAGTAGAGACAGATGGACATGGAGAATCAGAGCTGACACTGGGGATCAGAGGGAGCCCCGTGGAGGGCCGTCCCAAGGCTGTACAGTGTGCAGTGTGCCGGGACTGGGTTACAGACTGGGGAGGGCTCAGGAATCAGTCTAGATGGCAGCCCGGACAGTCCTGGCCCTAGGGACAGCACAACTTTATTTTCCTCCCAGGTGTGCTGGTGCAGACAGGGTGGCGGGGGCCCACCGCTGGCCTCTGCATGAGGACCTCCAGGGAGTGCAAGCCGGCCTCTTCCTCCCTCTAGCAGGGGCTCCAGCCTGCCTGAAGCACAGAGAGGGCAGGGTGTGTGTGTGTCTGAGCTCAGGAGAGGGCAGAAGGCGCCTGCAGAGAGACTTGCCAGGTGGGGGCCAGCGTGCACAAAGGCTCAGCCGAGCTGGGGGCAAATGGCGTGATTGTGGGAGTGTGTGCTCCGGTGGCAGGAGCCAGGCTGTGGGTCCTGGAGGCACAGTGGTGAGAGACCAAGTGGGGGACCAGGGAGAGTGGGGGTGGAGGGGCATCACACACTGGGGTGCGAGAGCAGCCACGTGGAGATGGAGGCCCCCAGCCTCCGGACGCCCCTCCCAGAAGTAAACTGCTTTTGTTAGTTTCTTATCTATCTTTCCAGAGCTTCTTTAAGCAAGGACAAAAAAATATAAATACATATTCCCTCTTTTCGGTCTTTATTACACGAAAAACGTAGCTCATTGTACACATTCTCTTGTGTTCTTTTCCCTAACAACTCATTTTGGAGAGCTTTCCCTGGCAGGATAGAACTTGTTCATTCTTTTTACTTTTTAACTGCCTCACAGTGTTCCATTGTTTGGATGGGGATAGTTTTTAAATGCCAGTGATGAAGAAGCTACCCAGTGTCCAGCGATGGATGAACGAATAAGCAAACTGTGGTCCATCCCCACAATGGAATATTATTCAGCCTTGAAAAGGAAGGAAATTCCAACACATGCCACGACATGGATGAACTCTGAGGACATTACACTAAGTGAAATCGGCCAGTGACAAAAGGACAAATACTGTATTATTCCACTTACAGGAAGTCCCTAGAGGAGTCAGATACAGAGAGATAGAAAGTAGAATGGTGGCTGCTGGGGGCTGGGGGAGGAGAGAATGGGGAATTATTATGTAATGGGGACAGAGTTTCAGTTTTACAAGATCAAAAGAATTCTGAAGATGGACAGTGGTGACGGCTGCACTACAATGTGAGTGCACTTAATGCCACTGAACGGGACATTTAAACATGGCTAAGATGCTAAAGTTTATGTAATGTGTATTTTACCACAATTGTTTTAAAAAAAGCCATGATGGGAAATGATGATGGGAAAATTATTTATTGTCACAATTTCCCTTGAAAATCCTTGAAATCACCAGTAAGCCCCCCCCAGCCTGTGCTTCTGTGGACAGAGCCTGCGTGGTGAGGTGAGTGGGCCCGGGAGTCTGGGGCCAGCATGGACGGGCTCTGCGCCGAGCGCCCCCACAGACTGGGTGGCTGGCGGACTGGTTGCTCCGCCCGCGCCCTCTGAAGAGCACTTTCCCGTCCCCTCTCTGCCTTGCTGGGCCGCAGGGCCCTGTGTGTGAGAACAGACATGTGCATGGTATGACTCCAGTGGGCGTCCACTTTATACCCAGTAAATGAACAAGGCTGATGAAAACACCCAGTGCTGCCTGGCGAGTTGGAGCAGCCCTTTAAACCCTGCTGGGTGGGGCTGCATATTGTCATGGTCCCTCTGAATTGTACAAGATTTGGCTCCATGTGCAAAGAGCCTTATGTTCAATAGTGCCCTTTCACCTTAATCCCAATCCTTGGAAATATAACCCAAGAAGATTATCTAAAGAGGAAAAGCATGGAAAGGAGTTTGCTTCGGTGTTAATTATAAGCAGTGAACGAAATCCAGAGTGCTATAGATGATGAACAAAATGAGAATGGACAAGAACATTCTCATACCCGTTAGTGGAGTTTCTGTCATTGTTGAAATGATGGTCATGAAGCCTCGGCGATAACACAGAAACGGGTTCTGGGATAACAAAGTGAACAGGCAGGCAAGGACTGCACATCCGACACAATGCAGACAACCCATTCAAGTGGACGGAACGCCCCGGGCGCTGAACGCTGCGTCATTGATGTGCACACCCCCTTGCCCTGCTGTTGTTTCTGTTTTAGTGCCATTCATTCAAGCCGAAGGTAAGCTCAGCCATCAAATGAACCCGAAGCATGAAGGGCCCCAGGAACACCTGCACCAATCCCGGGGTGGGGGTTGGGGCATGCCCGCCCTGTGATGGGGCCACCGAGGGGACTCTGAGAGGAAACATCTTGCTCTGGCTCAGAACTGAGAGTGGCCAAGCCACAGTTTGAACTGCAAAGTCCAATTTCTGACCTGTCCAGCGAGGCCCTCTGCCCCAGGACGAGCAACGCACCATCCCTTCACACACCCTGGACCTGCCTGCCGGGCGCGCCTCCTGACTCCCGGGGCCCCGGGCCTCCTGTCCCCCAGGCCTCGCACTGCATGCTGTCTCGGAGGAGCCTGGCTTGCTGCCTGCTGCACCCCCAGGGCCCAGCCCCATGCCTAGCACATACATAGTGGGTGCTGGGTCAAGATGTGTGGCATTCAAGTGACTCAGTGAGGCAGGTGGGAAGCGGTGATGCCTGAAGTCACACAGCGAGCACTGGGGTGGTGAGGGCGGCCCATACGCCAGGCGTTCAAGTGGCGAGTCGGTGGGAGGGAGGAGCTGGGGAGAAGCTCGGGTCTCGGCCTGGGAAGGCTGATAGAGCCACTCCCCGCTCCCTGACCCCACCTCACCCCTTTGCCCTCTCTTCTCACAGATGAGGAAACTGAGGCTCAGAGAGTGAAAGAGTCACAGCTTCCCCCCTCCTAGGCATTCGCTTCTGCCTCCGTTTCCCTGCCCAGCCCCACCCCCTCAGGCGTCTCGGTGTCTCCCCGTGTTTAGGTCTCAGGCCCTGCATCTGGAGGTCCTGGGGCTCCCGAAACAGTTACACCTGGGCAGCCAGCCTGCATTGTGTGGACTAGGCTGGTGGGAAGGCCGGCGGAATGAGGGGAGAGGACCCTGCCCGCCGCCCTGCAGTGGGCGCCCAGTGCCCCACCAGCGCCCAACGGGCCTCCATCCTTCTGGGGCTGCGCACTGGCAGGCCATGTGCTCTGGGCCTCTGGCACCCGCCACGTTTCTGGGACTACATGGCCTATGCTGAACTCCTCTATGGGAGCTGGGGAGATGTGACAAGTGCAGGACATGTCAGGATTACAAGGCAGGCACAGTCCTAAAGGATGATCTTTTTTTCATTCCCCAACTTTTGACGGAGATGTGGGTACCAGAAATATGTAACTTTCTTTTTCATCTGATCATACAAAAGCACGTGGCAGAGGCTGTTGAGGGCCCTGGGGTTCCTCCTCAGTGTGAGGCCGGTAGTGAGCAGCCAGGGCTGTGGCCATGAGGAAACCCAGCTCCTGGGGCCACCACAGGCTCAGACCTTCCAGGTTGAAGAGACACCAGGACTCCTGACTTCTATGTTTTGTATTCTGATTTTAAGAGTGGCAATTTAATTCATTAAAAAAAAAAGAAAAAGCCCCTGTAGGTCTGCCGGATGGTGCAGAGGTTAAGTTTGAGCTCTGCTTGACTGGCCTGGGTTTGCTGGTTTGGATCCGGTGTGGACCTACACATCACTCGTCAAGCCATGCTGTGGTGGCATCCCACATAAAACAGAGGAAGATGGGCACGGATGTTGGCTCAGCTTCAACAATCTTCTTCAACAACAACAACAACAACAACAAAAGCTCCTGTGGGGGC